AATACAATGCTCCTAATTGTTCAGCAGAACCAATGTTCATTCTGGTTTGTGCTCACCTTATTTTCTGTTCCTAGGGACAGTGGAATGTTCCTCAACATGAGTCTCCTCATACACTCTCAAAGCACAGAGGGCAACCCAATGAATACTTGTGTTCCTCATCCTGTGTTCCATGGACCCATGAAGATTTTGAACTACCTGGACTCCTTGCCAGAGTCGGTCACACATTAGTACTTCTTTAAAACATAGTGCTCTCCTCAAAAATACTTATAAAAAATGAAATTTTGATCATATTTTAACTGAGGGCTTAGTATCTTCACGTTTTCATTTTTATCCAAGTATTTCACTATCATTATTTGCTCTTGCATATATTAATTCATCAAATAGCTAATAAGCATTCAGTGTGTCATGCACAGCATTAGAGCCCTGGGAAACAGAGTCTCCCTGTATTTACTGGCTCCTACACTGAGCCAAGTCCAGGATCAGTCACCATCACAACAGTACTAGCAAGAGGTTACATTCTTTTAAAGTCTCTAAAACATCTCCCCCATACAAAAATGATTCCAGTCATCAGTATAGTTTGTGGTGTATTGGGCTTCTTCAACTGTGTCCTCTGAGAAAAACCTTATAACCCAGAACAGAGCAATGAGTGGGTTTCCTTCTTTTTGGTTTCATCCTATCCTTAAGTATTCTCTCCCATTCTAGAGATATGATTAGCCACTGGAAGGTATTGGTAGGGTTCATGTACATGATTAGATGATAGCACATTAGACCCTCAGTAGAGGATGTATATTGTCAGAAAGAGAACCAGATGTACTGGAGATGGAAAGAACTGAGCTTGAGCCTACATTCCACGACTTCAACCCAATAATTACTCAATATCATCAGGCCTCCTTTTTTCACTGTAACACAAAGACAGTAATTCCCATTTGAGAAGGTAGCTCTGGAAGTCAGAGAGATCATATAGAAGATGCTCATCCCTTGTCTGTGTTCCAGGAGCACCAGTGGAGAGCCTTTGAATTTCTGCAAGACAAGACCCACACCAACAAATGGGAGTGCACTGGATATGTCCATCAATGTGATGTTCCTGACAATGACCTTGGTGGACATCATCACCAGCTTAGTTGGGCTGGTGGGAAACACAGTTGTGCTCTGGCTCCTGGGCTTCCGCATGCATGGGAACACAGTCTCAGTCTATGTCCTCAACCTAGCTGCTGCTGACTTCCTCTTCCTCTGCGGCCATATTGCAGATTCTGTGAACAGCTTCCTTTACTTTTTCCACCTCACTTCAATCATTGTTCCTCAGGTCATATCCCCATTGATGATATGTTTCTACATCACTGGACTGAGCATGCTCAGTGCTATTAGTACTGAGCGCTGCCTGTCTGTCCAGTGGCCTATCTGGTACAGACATCACAGACCAAGACACATGTCAGCTGTCACGTGCGCCCTCCTCTGGTCCATATCCTTGTTGCTGAGTATCCTGGTACTTGTGTACTGTAATGTAGAATTTAAGTTCTATTTTTCCTGCTTGACCATGTCCTTCATTATTGCTGCATGGCTGATCTTTCTATTTTTGGTTCTCTGTGGGTCCAGCCTAGCCTTGCTGCTGAGGATGCTCTGTGGCTCAAGAAGGTTGCCACTGACCAGGCTCTATGTGACTGTGGGGCTTTCGGTGCTGGTCTCCCTCCTCTGTGGCCTGCCTATAGGCATCATGCATTCTCTGTTGTCCTGGTTTACAGATAGCAGTGACTGGATTTACTATGATTTGACTGCTTTCTTCTTGTCTGGTATCAATAGCAGTGCCAACCCCCTCATTTACTTCTTTGTTGGCTCCTTTAAGCACAAACAGAAGCAGAGGCAGCAGCAGTTCCTGAAGCTGATCCTGGAGAAGGCCTTAGAGAATAAAGCTGAGGTAGACAGAAGTAGAGACAGCCTTCCTCAAAATAGCATAGAGATATCAGGGTCCCTTTCTTTCAGTGATTCTATATATACAAGGGTTAATTCACAGAAGTAGCCCCTCTGCAAGGTTACAGAGAAGATTGTGTAAGGTCAAACCTCATACCTATATGCACATATTGATGCTTTGATATAAATATGTAGACATACATGCACCCTTTTAATTAAATATTGTCTGCTTTAACATTACAGCCATGGTGTTGAATAGTTGTAATGCAGGCCATGTGCCTGAAAAGACTAGCATACTTATGACTCTCATTTTTATATATTATAGATAATCTTAACACATGCCATGGCTAAATTGTCCGTGTAACACTGTTTCCTGTCTCATCCTGGAACCAGAAAGCTACAAGAACCAAGGATCATGAGCTAAAATCCATGAGCGCCAACACTCTTCCCTATCAGATTCTCCTAACACCTGTAAGTTTGATGATGATTTGAGGGAAAATTTGTCTCCCCTTATCATGAAGTTAAATGCACACAGGTTCCAGTGGTCAAAGAAATTCAAGAGCTTTTAATGACAGGTGGAG